AAGGGGGGGGGGGGCAATCTAGAAATCTATATCCAGCAAACACATATTTGAAAAAGAAGGCAAAATAAAGGTATTTTCAGACACACAAAAGTTGAAAGAATTCATCAACAGTGAATCTGTACTACGAAAAACATTAAAGGAAGCTCTTCGGCTAACAGGGAAATTATACCACATGGATCTATGCAAAGAAATAAAGAACACTGAAAAGGTTCAGTATAAGAGTGATATGTGCAAGGATTTTTCTTACTATTTAAAACTTTAAAAAAAATAATTGACTAAACAAAAATAATAAGGTATTAGGGAATTTATAGCATGTAAAATTCGTGAACAATACAAAGGCTGGAAGGAGAGAAACGGAAGTACACTATTGTACATTCTTATTCTCTACATGAAATGGCAAAATATTATTAGAGGTAAACTGGTCAGTTACAAATGGATACTGTACACAAACATTAAAATAACTACACTAAAATAATAAAATGTTATACCTAGTAATCCCACAAAGGAACTATGATATAAAAAATATTCCATTAGTTCAAAAGAAGTCAGATTATAAGTGAAAAGGGAAACAGATGATGACAAATAGAAAACATAGCAAGATAATAGATTAAAATATAACCCTATCAATAATATTATAAATGGTATAAATTAAAAGGCAAAATTGTCAGATTGGATACAAAAGCAAGAACTATATGCTATCTAGCCCTGGCTGGTTTGGCTCAGTGGTTCCAGTCAAGGGCACAGACCTCGGTTGCAGGTTCGATCCCCAGGGCGCGTGTGGGAGGCAACCAATCATTGCGTTTCTCTCACATCGATGTTTCTATCTTGTTTCTCTATCTCCCTCCTCCCACCTAAAAAATCAACAAAGAAAATAACCTCAGGTAAGGATTAAAAAAAGAGAACTATATGCTATCTACAAGAAAAGTATTTAAATATATAGACACAAATAGGCTAAGAGTAAAGGTATGAAAAAGCCATACCATGCTAACACTAGTCAAAAGAAAGCTGGAGTTCTATTAATATTTCACAAAGTAGATTCTGGAGCAAAGTATACACAAACCTACAATTATAGTCAAGAGGTTTCAATAACCTCTTGTTAGAACAAGTAGGCAAAAAATCAGCAAAGATATAAGAAATACTGTCAACAAACTTGACCTGACTGACCTTTATAAAACATTCCACCCAACAGCAAAATATACATTATTCACAAGTGTACCCAGAATACTTACCAAGATAAACCATATTCTGGGCCATAAAACAAATCTTAATAAATTTAAAAGGATTCAAATCATAACAAGTATGTTCTCAAGCCACACTGTAATAAAATTAGAAATCAGTAACAAGATTTTGGAAAGCTACAACTATTTAAATAAGTAAATAACACTTTTAAATAACCCATGGATTAAAGAAATCCAAAAGGAAATTATAAGGTATTTTGAACTGAATGAAAAGAAATGTAAAACATCAGAATTTATGGGATCCCATTACAACAGAACTTAGTGGGAAATGCTGCAGGATACGAGATGAGTATATAAAAATCAACTATATACTAGTATTTTGATCTCAACTTTTGAATGAAAAAGTTAAAGTTGAATTTTAAAAAGTTATATTGCCCTGGCAAGTATGGCTCAGTGGTTAGAGCGTCTGCCCTCAGACCGAAGGGTATTGGGTTCGATTCCTAGTCAAAGGCACATACTTGGGTTGCAGGTTCAATCCCTGGCAACTGATCGATGTGTTTCTCTCACGTTGACGTTTCTCTCTCCCCCTCATCTCTCCCTTCCAATCTCTCTAAAAATCAATGGAAAAAAATATATCCTCAGTGAAGACTTAAAAAAAAAGATAACATTTACATTAAAAATATGATAGGCTTAGGTATAAATTTGACAGAAGACATTAAAGACTTGTATCCTGAAAACTAAAAAATATTGCTGAAATTAAAGACTTAAATAAATGGAGACATACTTGGTTCATGCATCAGAGAACAATAAGATGTCACCCCGCCCAGCAGGCGTGCCTCATCAATTGAGCATCAACCTAGGATCTGGGAGATTGTGGTTCGATTCCCAGTCAGGGCACATGCCCAGGTTGCAGGCTCGATCCCCATTAGGGGGTGTGCAGGAGGCAGCCGATCAATGACTCTCTCATCATTGATGTTTCTATCTCTCCCTCTCCCTTCCTCTTTCTGAAACCCATAAAGACATATATATATATATATAATCAATAAGATATATATATTTACATATATATATATAAAGTTAAAAAAAAGATGTCACCCCAATTTATCTATAGACTTAATACAATCCCAGTCAAAAGCCAAGCAGGATTTGTGCAGAAATCCATAAACTTTTGCTTTTTCAAAAGACACATGAAAATGAAAAAAGTCACAAATGGGAAAAATCTTTTTTCTTTTAACTGTCTTTTTTTTTTTTTAATATCTTTATTGATTTCAGAGAGAGGAAAGGAGATGGAGAGAGATAGAAACATCAACGATGAGAGAGTGATTTATCAGCTGCCTCCTGCATGCCTCCTACTGGGGATCAAGCCCACAACCGGGACATGTGCCCTGACCGGGAATTGAACTGCAATCTCCTGGATCGTAGGTTGATGCTCAACTGCTGAGTCACACCGGCCAGGCAAAAATGGGAAAAATCTTTGCCAACTATGTATCTGAAAATGAATTTGATACATAGGGAACTCTCCAAACTCAACCATTAAACAACTCAATTTTAAAAATGAGTAAAATATATTAACAGACACTTTACCAAAGAACATATACAGGTGAATAATAAGCTCATGCAAAGATGTTCAACATCACGGGTCATTAGGAAAATGCAAATTAAAATCCTAATGAGATAGCAATAGAAGCCTATTAGAATGGCAAACATTAAAAACACTGACCATACCAAGTGTTGACGATCTGCAGAAACTGGAACTCTCTCATACACAGCTGGTGGAAACTAGTACAAACACTTTGAAAAATAGTTTGTGAGTTTCTTATAGAGTTAAACATTTACCTACTATATGATCTAGCCACCCCACTTCTAGTTTACCCAAGAGGATATATATGGTCCATACAAAGACTTGTACTTGTGTTCATAGTAGCTTTATTTGAACAGCCAAAAACCAGACACAGCCCAAATGTCCATCAACAGGTGTTATAGTCATATAATAATAAAAAGAATGAACTACTGATACATGCAACATGAATCATTTATGCTGAGAGAAAAAAGACTGCTCTCCGCATTGAGCGCAGCTCTCCTGCCACAGCCCGCGTTCCCTGGAAATGTACTCCACGCCAAACTCATCTCCACCCGCGTCCTGGTCGGGAGCGCTTCTCAGCTGTCGAGCCAGCCACTCTGCGGTAGTGCTAAAATGGCCCAAGACACTGGCAGCCCCATGTCCCCTGACCTCACTTATCCCTACCATAACTTCCAAAACAGCGCCATTTCAAGGGACATTGACAGAGCAGCCAAGTTCCCTGGGACTGCAGCTGGCACAGCGGGGGTGGCAGGCGCTGGCGCTGGGGCTGGAACTGTCTGGGGGCTCATCACTGGCTCTGCCAGCAACTCTTCTCCCGAGGGACAGCTCTTCGGCACAATTCTGGGCTTTGCCCTTAGAGGCCATGGGGCTCTTCCGCCGACGGCAGCCTTTCCCATCCTCTTCGCCATGTTAAGAAGCCCTCTCTACCTTCCACGGTTCTTTCTCCCAAGTCTCACCTTCCCTGTATGTTCCTTTTCCTATACATTTCCAGGCAGCATAAGGAAAGCAGACGGCTCAGGGTTTGACAGGAGGAAAAAAATACGGTATTAAGGGAAAAAATCAGACCAAAAAAGTACAGGATGATTCCATTTATGTAAACCTCTAGGAACTACAAACTAACCTATAGTGACAGAACACACATCAGTGGCTGCGGGGAGGCAGGAAGGAGTGCAAAGCTGCTGTACGGAATTGGGGAGGTGACGAATATGTTCTTGGCTGTGATGGTTTTGTGGGTGTATGCAAATGTTAAAATTTATCAAGTTGTGCACTTACGTATGTTCAGTTTATTGTATGTCAATTATACTTCAGTAAAGCTGGTTTTTAAACCCAAGTTTCTAAAAGCGGTGGGGTCGGTGGTTGGGGCTGCTCTTCCTCAGGCAGGAGCTGCGCGGCGGAGACGCGGCCTCAGAGGATGGCCTGAGCCATGGGGCTCGCAAACCCACGGGCGGGAAAGCGCCCCGCAGGCAGCTGGCCATTAGAGCTGCCAGGAAAAGCGCCCCTCTACCGGGGGGTGAGCCGCTGCCATCGGCCCGGAACCGCTGCGATTCGAGAAACCCGTCGTTAACCAGAAATCCACGGAGCTTCTGGTCCCGAAGCTGCCTTGCAGAGGCTGGCGGGGGAGAGGGTCCAGGGTCCCAAACTGGCCCGAGGCTTCTGAGTGCCGCTGCAGGGGGTCAGCGAAGTTCCTCCTGGGCCTAGAGAAGATGCTAACCTGTGTGCCACCCACGCGGAGTCACCATCACGCCCGACATCCAGTTGGCTGGCCGGATATGGGGAGTGAGCGCTTTAAAGTGAAGGCAGTTTTTATGGTATTTTGCAGTAAATTCTATAAAATATTTTGGTTTAATTTGTGGCTTTTTTGGGGTAAGAAATTGTTTATAATATGTTGCATTTGTACTTAAGTCATTCCATCTTTCACTCAGGATGAATGCGAAAAGTGACTCTTCAGAGACCTCAGTGATGTGAGCACTGTTGCTCAGGAGAGGCGAGTTGCTGGTATGCAGAAGGGATGGGTGATATTTCTTCTCATGATGCATGTTTCTGTATGTTAATGACTTGTTGGGTAGCTAGTTAAGGTACTAGAATTGATAAATGTGTACAAGGTTCTTTTGCAATAAAACTGGTTATGACTTGAAATTTAAAAAACAAAACCCCCCACAAGTTTCTGGGTTCTACCACCAGAACTTCTGGCTAAAAAATATATACCCATTTCATTAGATCAAAATCAATCATTTCAATAGTTTCCTACTGAAGTCTAAAATTCTATTCACTTAATAGTGTAACAACTCTGGAATACAAAGTTACCATTTTTCAAAAGTATTTCAATCAATCTAGAAGCAATTTATATTACAATATATTCATACTGCTTGAATACATGAGAGACAGGAAATAGATGAAGGATCCATCTAATGGCTAAGCAGAAATGGTATTATGACAAAAGGAATGGGAAGGCAATAATAAACAGAAGAGCCCACGCCTAGTGATGACACTAGTAAAACGGAATGAAACCTATGATTATTAGACAACAAAATTTTAATTTGGAGAAAGGCATTCAAGTCATAAACCTATTTCATTAACCAATCATCAACTTAAACTTGCTTTTCTAAAAATTGGTTAAACTTTAGGAATCATGATTCTGTATCTTGTATCAAATAGCTTTAGCTACTTCAAACAGGGAAGTGTAATTAGAAAAATATTCTAGATGCTGTTAACAAATGCTAATTTCTATTTGTATGATAAAGATCACAACTCAACCAAGTTGTAGGTGGCATCTAAGTACTATATCTTAGAAATGTGAAGGGACATCAAATTATTCATAATTTAGTCATTATTGAGTTAATACATTTTGTTATTTAAACAACATTTATCCATAACGAGGGAAGCTTTTTGTCTTCCTCAACTATGATTTTAGAGGACTAATATTGAAAGTTAGTAAAATTCAGGTGTATAAAAACAAATGAATTAAGTTATGAACAAGTGAAAACAAAAGGATAATATTTTAATGGCATCTCTTTTAAATGTACTAAAATGTTCTATAGTATCCTTTGAAAGATATTACTCAGTAACTTAAAAAAGAATATCCAATATATTTTATTATTAATAAATAAATTAAAGCCCAAAGAATAGTATTATATACTTGCTACTTTTAGAAAGGAAGAGGAAGAAATAAAAGTAATTTGAGATTTAAAGTTAAAAAAGAAAAGGTAGCAAACAAAGGACAATCTAACAATACCTAGATTATTAAGTTAAAATTTTTTCATCAGGACATTTCAAAATCAATACATTGCTAAGAAGAATATGAGATCACTTAGTTGATCTGTCTGTTATTAAACCAGACTATTCACTTTTTCATGGTGAAGTGAACAAAAGAAGGTTTTCATTTGAATTTTAAAAAATAAGTTAGGAAGTAAAAGGAATCCCATATTTCAAGCATTCCAACCTTACTCAGAAATAACACAAGATATTCAAGTGTTTTAAAATCAAAGGCCTTTAATTCGGTTTTCAGTAATGACCATAAATGCCTTCATAAAACCTCTTTCTCACTGAAACAGAAGGCACTAGGCATTACATAACACCCTGAAAGCAGTGATTTCTTCTGATGCTGGTGGAGATAAACATTAAATGGCAGGTTTTAGATCTTAACAATGTCTCCTCAAAAAAAAGGGGGGGACAAGTCTGAAAATCACACAAAAGAATGAAGTTACCAGTTACCAGTCAGTCTTCCTCAGGTTCCCAATGCAATTTTAAATAATTTTTAAAGTAATTTGAAATTAATAGATAAACCAGGTTAAGTATGATAAAGTTTTCAACATTTGTTAGATTTTAGTTAAATACAGTAAATGTAAAGATAATTATTATGCTAATTGGCATCCTTTGATATTCTTTAGCTATGCAAAATAAACTTGAAATGATACATCCTGTAGTGGTATAATTTAAAAGATCCTTGATATGACACTAACAACTTTAAAATTCTATAAATTGTGAGATTATTAAAATACACCTTTTGAAAAATAAGATGACCATTTATACCTAAATAAGGTTTCCCAGAAAGATATGAAATTTAAAAGTCGTTGCCCCTTTTCCATAAGGATAACTCTTGTTTCACAAAATAACTCATATGATCAGAGGCAAATGATTTCTTTCAAATGCCATATTCTCTCTATGACTTTGAGGTATGCTTCAAGAGGCTGTATCCATGAGAAAAGGGCATATTTGGGAAAAGACCACAGTTACAAACACAGGAAGCCTTTCTTGGGTAGGGAGTGCCCTTAAGAGTTGTATTAACAGAAAAGGATAGCTTCTAAAGCCATTTCTTTTACAAACACATACAACTAAGTTTGGTTACTCAGAGGGTAATTCAAGGTGCAGCTATTTACATATGTGCTATGTCATGTGTGCCTTTTTAAAATAGTGGCTTCTACAGGACACTCCTATTCAAACACAAACCAAACAACTTTGGTAGAGTAAACCAAACCACAATCTTCTATTTTTGGCAAGGTAGTATAAACAGAACAACAACAAAAACACAAACAACAACAAAAAACTATAACAGTGATTCAGGCTGTAGGGAAAGGGTTCCGAGAAATATTAATTTGGACGTAAAAAAAACCCTATCAAACAAATAATGCTGAAAATCAATCTTATAATCACTCAAATAACTACCACATAAAAGATTTATGAATGCCTTTAACGTAAGAACAGTTCTGACTAAGCTGGTTTTGCTCAGTGGTTAGAGCATCAGCCTGTGGACTGTAGGGTCCTGGGTTTGATTCCAACCAAGGGCATGTACCTTGGTTGTAGGCTCGATCCCCAGCGGGCCGCATACGGGAGGCAACCAATCGATGAGTCTCATATGGATGTTTCTCTCTCTCTCTCTCTCTCTCTCTCGCTGCCTTTTTCTCGCTCCCCCTTCCACTCTCTCTGAAAAGCAATGGGAAAAATATCCGAGGGTGAGGATTAAAATAAAACAAGAATAGTTCAGTTTAAAAAATAGCTCATTATGAGGCTTATAATTAGAATGTCTTTGAAAAACATCCAAGCTAATTAACTTAAACAGAAACCAATTAGTAAAGGGTGAGAGGAAATTAATTCTTCCATAATTAATATTAGATACCTTCTTGCCTTTGGAGAAACTAATAAGATTAAATTTGAAAGTGGTATAGAAAATAATGAAATGATACCTATATAATAATTGGGGGGGGGGGAAATACCATGCCGCTACTAATAAACATGATGGGAGGCAAGAAACATGTTTTTAAGCAATTATTATGCAAAAGTATGCCTTATATATTTACATGTCATAATCAAGTTAAGAAAAAGCTTCAAGACTAGCAGCTGGGTTTTGTGAAACATGTAGGACAACAGAAGGCACTACAAAAGAATTACTTCTAGCTACAGTCAGACAGTTCAGTCTTTTCCTTCTTCTTAAGAAGGTAGCCAGTGTGAATGTTATTTTTATATCCCCCTGAGTTTTAACATGATTGGGCAAAAGAGCACCAATTTAAAAAAATATCTGCAATGCCAGCACTGCAGTTTGGAATCACTTACACTGATGGCCCCACAGGTCTCTCATAAGAGCACTTTAGAACATGATTAAAAATATAGAAATGCCTTTCGGTGTTTCAGTATTAAAGTGGAACCACCACAGATATCCATTTTTAAAAATAATGCACTAAAAAAGTCAGTATAGTCTTTCCACCCTGTAGCTAGCATTTACAGCAATTTTCCACTCCAGGAGATCTCCTTTGTGCGTCCAGTTGAAATGTCAGTATGCTTCATGATGCACACACAGTCCTTTCTGGCTGAAAAATCCTGGCAAATATCATGTCATGGCCGTTTTGAGCAGTATGCCTTGTAGGTCCTCTGGCAATGCTAAGATAATTGTGTCTATGTGTGTCCGTAACTTTTCCATAGTTTCAGGTTTCACAGGTAAATGCTCTCGATCAGCCTGCAACTATACAAGGAACATTTGGAAGCATTTAAATTATCCTCTGAGTCTGTATTAATACATTGTATTTTCTAAATAAACATTTTTAATGATCTAATGATTTGGAAACTTCAATCAGAATTTACAGAAATGTAAAGAAGCAAAGAACGTGCCGTTTAAACAATATATTGTTTGAGCTCAAGAAAAGACTTCTATGTAAATTGATAATAAACACATACCATGTGGTATTAAATATAAGTGACAATGATTTTGTAGAGCTCATTAGACTCCATGTAAATACTTTTAAAATATGGCATCATTATGATCTGTTTGAGAGACCTAGTATTTTCAGTCAGATCTACTATCAATTGACCAATCTCAAGTCCTCTCCTTTAAAAAGGTTACGTCTGTGCCCTGGCAGGGCAGCTCAGTTGATTAGAGCATCATCCCAATATGCCAAGGTTTCGGGCTGGATCCCCAATCAGGGCACATTCAACAATCAATCAATGAGAACAATCGATGTTTCTCTCTGTCAGAGACCCCCTCCCTGCCTCCCTCCCTCCCTCTCGCTCTTTCTCTCTCTCTCAAGTCAATAAATAAAATAAATTAAAAATTAAGAGTTAAAGATAAATAAAAAGGTTACATCTGTGATACATCAGGGACTGTCACCTCAAATGTGAAGAAAATATCCTCACAGATCTTTGGGTGCTTTGACTACATACCAGCTTACTTTTTAGCTTCAGTACAAGATCTACTGTTTCTACTTCTGTGTGTTTCTGGGTCCAGAGAAGTAAGTCCTAGAAGAACAAACAAATCCAAATTGGTTAAGTACTCAAAATCATTTTCAAACTGCTCTATTTCAATAAATAAAACTACTGAGAAGGACAGGAAGGAAAAAGAGAACAGGGTATTTAACCCAGATGTAGCATGACAGTACAAAAATAATTCTGCGCATAATATTCTAACAATGTAATTAGATAATTTTCAACATTAGCCAGAACCATTATCAAATATTTGTCAGTAAAGTAAAATGTGAGAACTTCCTTTCTACAGTAGCCCTTTCAGATTAATCATGAAAAATAAATATGCAACTCAAAGTACAATACGAACCCCTACCCCCACTTAGTGAGTACTTTAATTTTTAAGGAACATTGGCTAACAAACGAAGATAACTGTGCACATGAATATAACACTGGATGTAAACTCTGCATCTCAAACAAGTCCTTACTGAACTTATTTGTGGTTGTCTTCATCATACTCCTTCTCTTAAAACCACAGTCACTGCAAGTTTATGATTAGAAAGTTAACACTGTGGCTAGCCCACCTCAAACTAAATACAAATGAAGATGAGACTATTCCTTATATTTTCACTTAATTTAAAATGGTCTGGTAATATATTATAAAAAAGTCATTCCAAACACAGGAAAAAATTGTTACTAGTAACTGCAAGAGGTTAATAAGGCAAGCTGGAAAAAATCTGGAGTCAGGCTGCTTGAATCTGAATTCTGACTCCATCCAATGGTATGCTGGAAAATATTTAACCACCAGAAAAACTCTGGATTGTAGCATTCGCCAATTTCTGTGACATAATACTCCCACTGTAGCCAATTTTAAACTACTAACCTGAGATCACCGAATGCAGAGTGAGGAAGAGATGTATAGTCAGCTCTTATGAGCCAATGCAAGTGTGCTCTGGCTCACTGCCGGCTCCCCTACTTAGCAGGAATGTGATCTGAAGCAAGTCACTTAACTTACAATCCTCGGGTGCCCCATAATGCAGATCATAATACACCTACTTCAATGAACCGTTGTGAATATTAAAAGACATTATCCATATAGAGCACCTATACAGTCCTTGGCATATAGCACATGACCTAGAAAAGTTAGCTATTACTATTTATAAAGTAGTAGATATGGATATCCTCCCGGCCTCTAAGGATAACTATCTTTTTTTTCAATAGCTGTTAATATCACACAAACATGCTGTTCTCTAACCTCTTCACAAAGAGCTTCTAGATGAAGTGCTTCCAATTTCTGGGTCATCTCCTTCCGCCGGTTCTTGAACCAACCATCAAAATTTGGAGATTTTAGAAAATGCCTATAAAAACAAATTTTAAAACAGCAAAGTTTGATTATGACTTACTTCATCTCCTCAATACCTTTCCTACCTATTGCTGGAGGAACCATGTGAAACGATGCAATTTTGAGTAAAAGACTGTAAGTTCAAGTCCAGGCTTTTGTTTTTTGTTTTGTTTTGTTTTTTCAAAAATAAGCTCTACAGATGGGTAAAAAAAAAAAGAAGGCTAACCGGTAAAGTCCAATCCAATCGCCTTTTATTCTAGAGGTCAACTGAGGTCCTGTTTTCTCAAGTGTTTTCATAAATTCTTCTGGAAGGAATTGTCTTAATTGGGGTGGACTCTAGAAAAAAAGGACATCCTGTATTTAAAAGTTAGAAATGTTTATGTTCAAAGAAGTTAATTAGTTAGAGAACTCAAAGAGGAATTTAATTGAATAAATTTATACCTTCCATGGAGAAATGCTTTTCTGCAAAGGCATCAAGCTTGCCACGTATCTTTCCTAAAACCAGGGAAAAAAAGTTATTCAAGTCAGGTGTTCCAGAGAATCTTCAAAAAAGGTTAAGTAGACCTACTTAAAAGAAATGGGTTTCCAAGTTTTTTATCATATGGTCTTTCAATGGACATCAACAACACCATCACTCCCCATGGTAATAAAGTTAAATTCAGACTGAATTCAGAAGTCAGACTTTCAATAAAAATTTAACTAGATCTTAGATAATCCAAGGAATTACACTTAAAAAAAAAAAAATTTTAGCCCTAGGCTGTGTGGCTAAGTGGTTAGAGTGTTGGACTGAGCATCAAGGTTCTCAGGTTGGATTCCCGGTCAAGGACATGTACCTGGGTTGTGGGGCATGTGCAGAAGGCAACCAGTCGATGTGTCTCTCTCATATCAATTTTCTCTCTCTCTCCCCTGCTCCCTTCCTCCCTTCCACTCTCTCTGAAAAGCAATAGAAAAAATATCCTCAGGTAAGGATTAACAAAACAAAACAAAATAAAACAAATACATATATATGTATGTATATATAAAAAGTTTTATTGATTGATTATTTAGAGAGAGGGGGAGGGAGGGAGGAAGAGAGAGAGAAAGAAAGAGAAACATCGATTTGCTGCTCCGCTTATTTATGCATCCGTTGTTTGCTTCTTGTACGTGCTCTGACAGAGGATCGAAGTCGCAATCTTGGTGTATTGGGATGATGCTCTAACCAGCTGAGTGACCAGCCTAGGGCTGGGACTACAAATTTTTAATGATAATAATTAACCTTATTGAATAACTATGTTCCAGAAAATGCACTCAACATTTTAAATGTATAATCTCTTTTCATCCTTGCAACCATCCTATGTGGCAGGTATTATTGGGAATCTAAGGGTTCGTAAGGCTAAGTAACCTGCCCAAGGTCACACACTTTAAACTTGAATTCAGGTCTACTTGACTTCAGCCCATGCTCTTAAGCACTACAGAAAAGTTCATTTACTTAAACAAATTTAAATGAAAGGAAATAAATTGACATCCAAAGACCAAGAAAGAATATTTCTTCCCAAAATATAATAGCAAAGATCTCCAGATTACCCCCATATAGTATTCACAGATAGATTGCTACTTTACGTTAATAACTACATGGACTCTCCTTCCGATCCAGTCTCCAGAGTAGGACATCATGGTACTGCCTAATACCGTGAGGCTTCATTTAGTGTATTTATGATTTCTACTGAGTTTCATGGAATAGCCATATCATTCAGTTGTTTATTCCATAAATATTTATTGAGCACTACCATATACCAGACTGAGGAAAAGATAGTGAACAGACAGATAAGAACAGTCATCATGGAGCTACAGTTTCATGGATATCATATCAAATTGTGCTCAAGAAAATAAAATGAAGGCCCTGGCAGGGTAATTCAGTTGGTTATAGTGTCACCCCTATATGCCAAGGTTGTGGGTTTGATCCCCGATTAGGGCACTTACATGAAGCAACCAATGAATTCTTAAGTGGGACAACAAAAATCGATGTTTCTCTTTCACTCAAATCAATGTATAAAAATAAAAATAATAAATAAAAAGAAAATCAGAAAAAGAAGCTAAATGATAACCTATTTATGGTGCTCTATTTTTACTCACTAAACACGAGCAGACAAAACACACACCTTAAGATAAGGTTTTGGTGGATGGGAAAAACATTCATATACCCTTCAACAAATCATTAAATTATGTAAATGTATATGTTACTTACTAATGGAATGATGAAGCTTTGTGTCAGTTCCAAGAAATAGCGTCGCAGGATAACACTTTGAGCCTCAGAAGGACGTTTCTGTTGTACACCCTTAAAAGAGAAAACAGTAAGAACCTATATTCTAGTATTAGGGAATATAAAACAATGGATAATTATAGAAGTTCTACTGACATATGAAGAAGAAAAAAGAATATACACATATCTATTACTTGATATAAAATTCTTGGAGAAAAGCATAAACATTCATCCCATACTTAAAAATATCAGTTCACAATGAAGACTGTCTTTATTTCATACTTGTTGTATGAATACTATTTACATTTTCCAAAAAAGGTTAACTATCTCCCACTGTTAGATGCTAAGCTACCTCACGGCACAGTCCACTTTTTCATTCTAACTTCCAAGTATCTAGGAAGACTGGCACTAGTTTGTAGCTGCACCTCCCTATTTTAAGCCCATTATTTGCTGCTACTGTAGTCTCCTGATTTTTATGAAGCACTGGTTCAAAAGAGAGACCTAATTTCACATTATTATACATAAAGCACACACTGCCTAGTTGTATATTGTATACCTGAATAAGGAAATTTAAATTAGTAATATGAGCAAATAATTACCTTCTGTAATTGTTTTATGATCTCTTCATCTCTATTTAGATATGGCTTGTAAGAAGTATAAACTCCTAAGAAGTAAAGAAAACAAAGTATATGGTAAGTTTTTATTTTTTTAAATAAGTGTATATATATATACTTATATATATATATATATTTAAATTAATAAAAGTCAATACCAGGTTTAGAATCCAGAGTCTTTAGGTTCTTCAATTTTTTCACTTTAACTTGCTTAGGAATTTCACCTGAAGGAAACATCAGAAAGAGTCTTAGAATTATTCAAATTTTACATGGCAAAACTAGAATTTTATAAGATTAATAATCTGACTATTACTTAATGTATTCTTCCTAACATCAATTAATATTCAAGAGTTTATTACTGGTACTTTAAAACTGGCTAAAGGAAATACTGGATTATTACAGCATTACAAATAATTTGTGTAAACTACATAAACTGGGTACTTGATCTTTCATTAATATCTATTATTACCTAAAACTTTCCCTTTTGTCACTCAACTTGTAATTTAAAATGTTTGTGCCAAATACATAATATTGAAATTTTATGTGCCAATACACATAAAATACCCTTTAAGAATAAATGGAATTAAAACAATTCCTAAATTAGAATGCAGATGTAGTCTTCAAAGGTTTTTTCTGACACGTCCCAAAATCCTGCTTTTGCACTGTAGAAACTTACACTGCCACCAGGTGGTGATAGTGTGTGCTACAACCCCAGGTCTGATTCACAGATCAACAGGACTCTTGAGCAGGGCTGCAGTGAACAACTCCTGCAGCACGTGCACTGGTTCTAGTCTTGAGGCCTAGAGAAGCTACTAAACCACGCTTTTGACAGAAAAACACCTCAAAATAAACACTTAAAAGTGTCATACGCACACAAAATGTAACAGGCTTTCTTTCTCTTTTCCTTTCTCTATCCTTCCTTTCCCCTCCCTTGGACATAAGTCTTTTACATGGTAACTGCACCTGCCTGGAGAGATTCTCAGAGCAGCAAGAATATTAGCTGGCAAGCTATCACAAGAAAAGAAACTGCAGATCAATATCCCTCGTGGACAAAGACATAAAAATCCTCAACAAAATATTAGCAAATCGAATCCAGAAACATAAAAAAAACTATATACCATGACCAAATGGGATTTATCCAAGGAATGTAAGATTGGTTTAACATTTAATACCCCCAAATCAATTAATATAATATACCATGTTAACAAAGGACAAAAACCACACAATGATCTCCATAGATACAGAAAAAGTGTTTAACAAAATTCAACAGCAATTCATGATAATCACTCTAAACAAACTAGGAAAAGACACTTCCTCAAACTGATGATGTCTATGAAAAACCTACATCTAACACCATAATTAGACATGTATGTTGAAAACTATAAAACACTGTTGAGAAAAATTAAAGAAGATCTAAACAATGAAGAAATATTCCAAGTTCCTGGATTGGAAGACTCATTATTTTTCAGATGGCAATTCTTTCCCAAATTGATTACATATTCAACACAATTCCTATCAACATCCCAGCTGCCTTTTCTACAGAAATTGATAAAGTGATCTATTGCTGTAGAGATAAGACATATAGATCAATTCAATAGAAATAAGAGTTCAGAAATAAACCCTATGTTTATGGCCAATTGACTTTCCACACAGGTACCAATGTAGGTCAATGGAAAAACGACAGTCTTCAACAAATGGTGCCAGGATAAGTGTGTATCACCATGCAAAAGGTATGATTTTAGACCCTTAACCCACATCATAACAAAAAATAACTAGAAGTGGTTTACAGACTTAAATGTGTTAACATAATAAAACTTTTAGAAGAAAACATAGGAGAAAATCTTTGTGACCCTGGATTAGGCAATGAGTTCTTAGATATACTATCAAAAGGCCAATCCACAAGAGAAAAAAATTGATTAGCTACTTATCAAAAATTAAACACATTTTTGTGGTTACCAGAGGCAAGGGGTGAAAGTTGGGGGAATTGGATAAAGGTAGTCAAAAGGTATAAACTTTCAGTTATAAGATAAATAAGTACTAGGGATGTAATGTATAACTATATGGCATATTTAAAAGTTCTTAAGAGAGTAACTCCTAAAAGTTCTCATCACAAGAAAAAACACTTTTTCTTTCTTTTTAAAATCTGTATGAGATGATAGATGTCAACTAAACTAGTAGTAATCCTTTCACCATATAGGTAAGTCAAGCCATTATTCTGTATACCTTAAACCTGGTCAATTATATCTCAATAAAAGTGGAAAAGCCCGGCCAGGCGTGGCTCAGCGGTTGAGAGTCGACCTGGGATCCAGGTGATCGGGGTTCGATTCCCGGTCAGGGCACATGCCCGGGTTGCGGGATCGATCAATGACTCTCTCATCATTGATGTTTCTATCTCTCTCTCCCTCTCCTTTCCTCCCTCTGAAATCAATAAAGATATATATTTTAAAAAATAAATAAATAAAATAAATAAATAAATAAAAGTGGAAAAAAGTAACACTTTTGTGCTTTAAAATACACCATTAAGAAAACAAAAAGAGAAGCCATATATTGTGAGAAAATATTTGCAAATCATATATCTGAAAACAGACTTGTGTCCAAAATACATAAAGATCTCTTAGGACTAAATAATAAGATGATAAAATGGGCAAATGATTTAAATAAACATTTCATCAAAGAAGATATATGAATGACCAATAAGTAGATGAAATGATGCTCAACATCATTAGTCACTAGGGAAACACAAATTAATGCTACAATGAAAAAGACAGACAATATCAAATATTGGCAGGGATGTGAAGAAATAGAAACCCTCATACATTGCTGGTAAGAATGTAAAATAGTGGGCCACTTTGTAAAATAGTTTGGTGTTTCTTAAAATGTTAAACAAATGTATCAATTCATGCTATTTTACCAAGTTTATGCAAAAGTTCCTCTATTTACATCCCCAACAATGAGCCATTTTTCATTGGAAAAAGATAATTAACAGTAAAATATTAGTAATAGTAAACTAGCTATATTAGAATTAATCAAATAGTCTATAACAGGATAAAACCATGAAAGTAAATGTCAGGATCAAATTAAGATTTTAAAAAAACTTTTCAGCCCAGCCGGGTGTGGTTCAGCGGTTGAGCATCGGCCTAGGATCCAGGAGATCATGGTTCAATTCCCGGTCAGGGCACATTGCAAGGTTGCAGGCTCAGGGGGCAGCCGATCAATGATTCTCTCATCATTGATGTTTCTATCTCTCTCTCCCTCTCCTTTCCTCTCTTTGAAATCAATAAAGATATAAAAGAACAAATAAATAAAATTTTTCGTATCTTCTCTTAGCTAAGACTCTGATAACTGCTGTACTCTCATTTATCACTAATAATATAACAGGACACTAGTGAAATGGCAGGAGACCATGACAATTATAGAGTGCCATGAGTTAGGTTATTATGTTTAATCCAGCAAACAAATTTGAGGCTTAAAGAGACTGTTCTGCCTAAGATCACAAAGATCTGACTGCCAGCATCAGATCTTTCCCTTTGCTCTTTTCTTTATTCATAAAGCACCTAAGGATTTCAGTATAAGACTGAGTCTAATATTTGTATATAATATGATTTAAAATGTTATCCCTGACTCTAGTAATATCTGTTTAGATTTATGTATATACTAGGAGGAATTTCTTGCAAAATAGTATTATTAAATAATGTTTTAACCCTGGCTGGTGTGGCTCAATGAACAGAGTATTAGCCTGCACACATAAGGGTCTCGGGTTTGATTTCTGGTCAAAGGACACGTGCTTGGGTTGCGGGTTTGATCCCTGGCCCTGGCGAGAACTCATCGGGAAGCAACCAATTGATGTGTCTTTCTCACATCAACGTTTTTCTCTCTCTCCCCTCCCTCCCTCCTACTATCTCTAAAAATCAATGGAAAAAATATTCTCAGCCTGACCGGACTGGCTCAGCAGTTGAGCATCAGCCTATGACACAGGAGATCACGGTTCAATTTCCAGTCAGGACACATGCCCGGGTTGGGGCTCGATCCCCACTGACTCTCCTTCATCACTGATATTTCTGTCTCTCTCTCCCTCTCCCTTCCAGGCTCTCTGAAAATCAATAAAAAAAAAATTAAAGAAAAAAAGAGAAAAGAAAAAATATTCTCAGGTGAAGATTAAAAATAATAATAATAATAATGTCTTAAATATACCTGTGTATACCAAAAGAAAAGTCTTATTAGTATCATATCATAAAGTTATTTAAAAATATTTTCAGTATCTCAACTCTCAACTACTTCAATGAAAATTCAGGAATGTCCAGTGAGAAATGTCAGAGGTACCATTAAGTTATCTAAATTAACAAAACTTCCAATCTCAGAATTCACTTATTCATTTAAAAACACTTTTAAAACAGCTACCATGGCTCTTTCTGCCATACTGGAACCTGTGGAGGCCTGCTGGGAACAGGACTTCTAAAACGACAAATACGTCTGGAAGGCTGGTGGTCCAATACCATTATTGCTGGATATAATAAGCAGGCTCTCTGGAACCAGAGAGAGCATACAGCTCTTCTTAAAGTTGAAGGAGTTTATTCTTGAAATGAAACTGAATTCTGTCTAGGGAAGAGGTGTGCTTATGTGTACAAAACAAACAACAACATAGTGACTCCTGGTGGCAAACTGAGTAATCCGGGGGAAAGGTAACTCGTGCTTATGGAAATAGTGGCTTAGTTTGTGCCAAATCGGAAGCAATCTTCTTGCTAAGGCCATTGGACACAGAATCCATGTAATGCTGTGCTCCTTGAGGATTTAAATTTATTGAAAAGATAATAAATAAAAGTGGATTTGTTCTCTTGTTTCAAAATAAAAGCCACCATGAGCAAGGTATATATACCTTATTTTCTCAAGGAAAGCACAACCCTTTGATTACTTCTTTAATCAATACCAGTACCACAGAAATGTATACTTGTTTTGAGACCTAACCGAGAATTTTATGCCAAGGTGAATAATTTGAGCTTCTCTATGGTTTTATTTAAGTGTTGGAAATCCCTTTTTAATTGGGCCATCCATATACAAAAAGCAGCTCACATTTTTGAAGTTTCACTTTGCTATCCTTCATTCTGTTTATAACACTAAGTACATTTTTTGTTAGGAGGAACGATGGGTTACACCTGTATATTTTAGTGAGAAGTTATGTTCTTCTCCAAAGGCCCTTATTCAGGTTGCTTCAAAGAAGATTGCCATCAACATAATGAAAAAGTAACTAAAAAATGAAAACAAAGAGCTGAAGAAATAAACCTGCTCAGCCACATTACACACTAAAAAGCAGAACACCGAGTTTATACCTTACCTGCTGGTTTAAGGTCTCCTATTCGAATAATGTGTGGCCAGTGCTGAAGTGTCTTTGCAAAAAAGGGGTTGGTTACTCCTAATATGACTGAGGGCCTACATAAAAACAAACAAAACAAAAGTGAGAAAAAGATGAATGTTCCATCACTGAAGAATAGTTTACAATTTCTTTTGAGTGACCCATAAATAGATTATCTTTTCCTTCATTCAATGTTAGCCCGGCCGGGCGTGGCTCAGTGGTTGAGCATCAATCTAGGATCCAGGCGATCGGGGTTAGATTCCTGGTCACGGCACATGCCCGGGTTGTGGGTTCGATCCCCAGCTGAGGGCATGCAGGGGGCAGCCAATCAATGACTCTCTCATCATTGATGTTTCTCTCTCTCCCCCTCTCCTTTCCTCTCTCTGAAATCAATGAAGAGATATATATTTTTTAAAAGTTAAAAATAAAATAAAATAAAACAAAAGCACACAGTTAAAAAGTATAACATACTAAATTATGATGCCAGACATTATAAAACAGTGAAGTGGTATAAAATGTGCAATAATTACAAAGGAGACACTATGTCTACCAGGGGATTAAAGGATAGTCTCATCAAAGAGATGACATTTGCACAAAGATATGAAAGATGAGTAGGAGTTCTTTGCCAAATGGATAAGGGTGGTAAAAGGTGATGCAGAAGAATGAATTGTATGTGCAAAGCTATAAAGTGAGATCAGATCATGATCTGTTTGTAAAACTACAAATAGTTCAGCATTTCTAGAGCACAAAGCAGAAAGGATAAACAGAAATAAAAGTAGTTGGACAGATGCTGGCCAGATCATTAAGTACCAAGTTAATATGCTAAGAAGTTTAGATGTTTTCTTGTAGACAAATGAAAGCTTCTAGAGAACTGATGACATAAGAGGTACTAAAGTATGAAAAGAAGACAGAACTGAAAGTACAGCTGGATGGCTATTAATGACAATATAATTCCCACGAATAAAATAAATCATTCAAAGAAAGTAAGACACCGACTCTTGAAATATGAACCAGCAACTCCTTAATCCTTCCTTTAGAAAATCAATCTGCCAATAAGTTCAAAATTTAAACTTTTAAATTATTACCAAAAATGATTCTACAGTTGTAAAGGTAATAATTGCTTAATAAAAGTTACTTTGTTTACTTACGGGGCTTGCGTACGGGTAGTATATTCTTTGAATTCACTATCATGAATAGTGAAATAAGGTCGGAAATCACTGAAGTACTTCAATGGAGAAATACAGCTGGGGGGCAAGAAGAGCATGTAAAACAACGACACAGAAATTACAGGCTCTGCTCAATGAGCATAAAACATCCATATACACAGTATACCCCCAATGGGATAATGTACTATTTCAATAAACGGCAAACTTGTTTCAGGTAACTAGAAAGCAAATGGAAATACATAATGTGAAATGGCGTATTCAAAGAACACTGGACTTGGGGCAGAAGATAGGGTGAAATTTTGGTTCTGTCGTTCACTAATTATATGCCTTTTCCTGGACACTGACCACTCACGCAACTAAAACTTGTCAGGTGCCAACTTTGTGTAAGTCGGCAATTTTCAACCTTTTTCATCTCGTGGCACACATAAATTAATTACTAAAATTCTGTGGCATACCAAAAAATATACGTTTTGCTGATCTGACAAAAATAAAAAGATATAATTTTTTTTTAATTATTAAGAAAAAGTTTATTTAGAAAGTTACAGAGGTAGTAGAAGTGAGCCAGCTGGGCTGCAGCTCAGGAAACAAGTTAAAGAAGCAAAAGAAAGGCGCTTGAAGCTTAGGAGAGGGAAAGGCAATGGTAACATGACTGGGAGGAAAGGGGGGATGTGCGGGAGTGCCCGAGAGGGAGAATGCTGGTATAATTTTGATTCACTCACACCAAATGGCAATAGTTGTGTTGGCTGTTGTCACTTTTTTATTTGACAATCTAAGGGTAAAAAGGTCAGTGCCCCTGACTAAATAGTCAGGTATTGTGTGTTTTAAAAATTCTTGTGGCACACCGGTTGAAAATCGCTGCTGTAAGTAAATGAATATGCTTCTCGCTTGGAAAAACCAGAACATGGTTCCAGACTTCATGAAGCCTGAATTAATTTTCTCATCCATAAAATGGTGCTATAATGAACACTTCTTTGTGTGGATCAAAGCAACAATTGTACAAACATATAACAGACAGGAAAGTGCTGCAACTATTACCATTATGAAACAAATATACTCACTTAACAAGTGCCAATACAGTCTCCGAAGACTCTGAAGGTGACGGTGCCATGACCACAAGGGGCTCCCCCAACAGCACCAGCTCCCAAAGCATCTGACTATGAAAGAAAACTGGGAACAAACACCTGAAAGGTGTTTACACAGTAAAAACACTGTTATTTATCCAACTTGTTAAGTTCCCATATAACAATTCTAAAAACTTCACATTAAGCCTGGCTGCTGTCGCTCAGCTGGCTGGGTGTATCCCTGCACCGAAAGGTTGCTGGTTTAATTCCCAGTCAGGGCACCTGCCTGGGTTGTGGCCTCGATCCTCGACAGAGGGAGTGCAGGAGGCAGTTGATCGATGTTATGCTCTCACTTTGATGTTTCTCTCTCCCTCTCTCCCTTCCTCTCTCTCTAAAAAAAAATCAATAAGTCTTAAAAAAAAGCCTGAAACATCTTACACCAGAAAGCGAGAAAAGTGTTTAAAGAATAACAAGAACATGTCAAAAAAACAGAGGCCAGATGAAATGGTTCTCACTGGTCAAACTGGAGATAATTTGAAGATCAAAACAGATGACAATAATGGATTTTAATAACCTGTTGAATAAAACAAGAAACTGACAGTCTACACATATACATGTAAATAGTGTGATGTTTAAAAATATTTCTACAAATTTATTGACACTCCTTTTAAAACAGAGAGCCTAATTATCCCCCTTAGGTGTGGGCTGCAGTCGTAGCTCACAGAGAATGAACAGAATAAGGTAAACAGACACTGTGCAACTTTGAAGGCTAGGCTGTAAGAGTCACTGTGGCTTCGGCCTTCTTTTAGATTACCTGCTGATATTGTGAGAACATTCAAGGAGTCCTATGCATAGGTACACATGGCTAGGAATGAGGCCTCCTGCCAAGAACACAGAGAACTGTGACCTCCAGCCCAAGGCCAAGTAAGTAAGCTTCCTGGGTAAACAGATTCTCTAACCCCATTTGCCCAACTGACTAAACCTCAGCTGATGTGTTCTTTTTAAAATATGTTTACTGATTTCAGAGAGAGGAAGGGAGAGGGAGAGATAAAAACATCAATGATGAGAGAGAATTATCGATCGTTTGCCTCCTGCACGCCCCCTACTGGGGATCAAGCCTCAAACCCAGGCACATGCCCTAACCAGGAATCAAACGTGACCTCCAGGTTCATGGGTGGACACTCAACCACTGAGCCACACTAGCCGGGCTTCAACTGACATCTTGACTGCAACCACATAAGAGATCCAGAGCTAGTACCATCCAGCTAAGCAATTTCCAGATTCCTAACCCTCAGAAACTGTGTGAAATGCTTGTTCTTTCAAGCCTCTAAGTACTGGAATAATTTATTATACAGCAATAAATAACAAACATACATACTTTAAAAGTACCTCCCCACAAAATACTTAGTTACAAAAGGAAAAAGAATAACTTATTAATAGAGAAGCTTAGAGAACACCACTTTAATCAAGTGATCAAAGTGAACATTATCAGTAATAAGGAAAGCCAAACTTGTGTGCTACCTCCTTACTATAGATGCAGAGCCTGAATCTAATCCTGATTAAATCCCAGACAAACCTACGCTGAGGGATTTCCTGCAAAATAACTGTCCTGTAATCTGCAAGAATGTCAGGATTGCAAATGTGAAAGGCTGAGGAGCTATTCCAGACTAAAGAAGAAAGACCAGAGAGACATGACAAACGCAACAGATGATTCTGAACTGAATAGCATTGTGACAACTGGTGATATCTGAATGTTGTCTTAGTATGAGATGATATAATCTACCAATGTTAACTTTCCAATGTTGATGGTTGCATTTTTGTAAGAAATAGACACTAAAGTATTCAGGAGTGATTGTACAGTACACAATCAAATGGTTCAGGGAAAAAGAGTTTTCTGTACTGAACTCACCATGTTTCTGTAAATTTATGACTGTTTCAGAAAATTTTGAAACAATCAGACATTTACAGAAACGTGGTGAGTACTGCACAGTATACATAACTTTAAATGTATATACACAGTTGTCCCTCAGTATTCATGGGGGACTGGTTGCAAGCCCCCTGCAGACAGCAAAGTTTGCTGATGCTCAAGTCCATTTTATAAAATAGCACAGTTTTTGTGTATAACCTATGCACATGCTCCCATATACTTTAAATTATTTCTAGATTACTTATAATACCTAATATAATGTTAATGCCATGTAAATAATTATTATATTGTACTGTTTAGTGTTTAATGACAAGAAAAAAGTCTATACATGTTTAGTACAGATGCAACCATCATAGGTCTAACTACATAGCACTTATCGGCAACAGCATAACTTTTTTAAAGAATATTTTGAATCCCCAGTTAGGGGATGGGGGTGGGGAAAGAACACAATGACACAAAACTTACATGCTTCTTGCTGTGCAAAGAACCAACAGTAAGTCAGTAAAATCAGGTGAAATGTCCTTGACTCTAGGCAAGAGCATATCAGTTTCTTTCAATGGAAAACTGTCCTTCAATTCCAAGACCAACTTAAAAACTAAATGAGAAGACTATTTCTGTGTGAACAGAGAACTAATACCAAAGGCATGGTCCCTGAAGTACCAGTAGCTTAACAAGCCTGAAAAGAGGGAAACTGGCCCCTACAATCAACTGTATCTCTCCACTCAACTTCAAACATCTTTCCAGGTCTGTCCTTTGCTCCCAAACTCAGTCTTGGTATAAAAATATCACCTTCAATACAACTGATAAACATTTAAACTCTCATTCATACTAATAAGGTAAAATGTAAACTCTAGCCTGGACTGTGTGGCTCAGTTGAGCATCGACCTATGATCCAGTAGATACCAGTTCAATTCCCGGTCAAGTGGTTAGAGCATTGGCCTGGGCACTGAAAGGTCAGGGGTTCCATTCCCAGTCAAGGGCACGTACCTGGGTTGCAGGTTGTCCCTGCCCGGTCAGGGTGCGTGCAGGAGAAAACAACTGATGTGTCTCTCTCACATCAATGATTCTCTCTCTCTCTCCCCCCCCTCCCCCTTCCACCCTCTCTGAAAAGCAATGGAAAAAATATCCTCGAGAGGATTAAAAAAAAAAAAGCCATGCCAGTGTGGCTCAGCAGTTGAGCATCAACCTATGATCCAGGAGATACTGGTTTGATTCTGGGTTTTGGGCTTGACCCCCAGTAGGGGGCGTGCAGGAAGCAGCCGATCAATGACTCTCTCATCATTGATGTTTCTCTCTCACCTTTCCCTTCCTCTCTCTGAAATCAATAAAGATATACATTTTTTAAAAATGTATGCTCTACACACACGAAATAAAGAGTGCTGCCATGGATAAATTATTAATCCAATAATCAGATAGTAAATGCTTGGTGCTGTCAGGTTATTCTTCTTCAAAGTTTTTCTCATCTCTTGAGTAACCAAATTTAAAAAACAACAAACTAACCTGTTCTTCTTTAAAAACAATAACATGTAATTCATATTCAAGAGAAAGGACATATACTAACCAAAGGTGTTAGAGGTGGAAGTAATTAATTACCACAAAAGCAAAGATAGTTGATAACAAGTAAAAAGGCATACCTAGTAGTTCAAAAGAAAAATGTCTGGTAACCAAATTCTGTATTAACTTTGCCAGTTATTCAATTTTTTCCTTAATGGAGTATCAAAACTATAAATAGTATGTATCCCTCTTAGCATGTTTCCTGTGATATTCATTTATTTGAGGGAACACTGCCCCTTTTCATTGTAAGAATGCTACACTCCCCTTTTTAAAGAAAATTAATTTGTCTTTAAGATTTATAACTTACATACAGTAGAATTCACCCTTACCAAAGATATAGAATAGCTCCATCACCCCCCCCAAATTTCCTCATCCCCCTTGTAGTCCATTTGCTGCCCTCACTCCCAGGCAACCCCTGATCTGATATTTATAGTTTTGCCTTTTCCAGAATACTTTATAAATGGAATCATTCAGTAAATAGCTCTTTAAAATCAAGCTCCTTTCACTAAACATAATACTTCTGAGAGTCATCCATGTTGCAGGCTGTGTCAATAGTTTATTCTTTTTTTAATTACAGAGTAGTATTCCATGCACATCTCATTTTGTTTATCCATTTACCAGTGATGAACATTTGCACTGTTTCCAGTGTTAGGTTGGTATACAAAGCTGCTATAAACATTTGCATACAGGTATTTGTGTAGATATGTATTTTCATTTTTATTGGGTAAATACCTAAAAGTAGGATTACTGGGCTGTGCTAGGGCCAGTGTATAAAACGAATCCAGCATATAAAACTAATTGATCTTTCAAGCAGTATTCCATGCAGTTTAAAGATCATACCACTCACATACACACACACACACAGACACACAATCCACATACACAAAAAAATCAACCCAAAACTCACTGTAAGTCTTTCACATGACTCCTGATTATATGCATTAGTATTGGTAATTGCTGGTTTATAACAGTGGTTTCTCAAGCTGGGCTCCACATGAGAACCACCCAGGAGCCAGAATGCAATTGTCAATCCAAAGATTCTTACTTAGCTGTTCCGTGTAAAGTACATTGGTACTTCTTCCTTCTTTCTTTTTTAAGTGCTAGATTATCTGTTGTTGTTTTTTTAATTTTGCATTTTGAAAAGCTTCAAACATACAGAAAAATGAAGATAACAGTGTAAGAACCCCCTTACACATACCATCTAGTGTTAACAATATTTTGCCATTTTTACTTCATTTATTTTTTCTTACTTAAGTACTTTAAAATGAAACACAAACCGTGTGACATTTCACCTCAAAATACTTTAAAATGCATCTCTAAAAAAATAAGTACATTAAAGAAAATTTTAATCCTCACCTGAAGATATGTTTATTGATTTTAGAGGGGCGGGGGGGGGAGACAGAGAGAGAGAGAGAAACATCAAATGGATGCCTCCCATACTAGCTCCAACTGGGGATCAAACTGGCAACCTAGGTACGTGCCCTGACCAGGAATTGAACCCGCAACCTTTCAGAGTAAGGACAACACGCCAACCAACTGAGCCACATCGGCCAGGGCCAGGGAATAAGTGCATTTTTTTTACATCATTACAATACCATTCTCACATCAAACCAAAACAATTTGTTTCTACCATGTGATACCTAATCCATATCCAAATTTCCCTAATGGTCAAAGCTCATAACATGCAGTCAGGGATGAACCACTGATTTATAACGTGAAGTATGACTATTCTGTTTTTTCCCACATTTCCTATTAAGAACATTCATTTTCTAAAGAAATTAACATCATCACAAAGCAAAAGAGCAAAGACAGTTAAAATTTTTTACTCTTTACCTGAAAAGATCCACCTCATGAACAGTAGGTAAAGTAACAGATATGTGTGTGTCTGCCTAAGAGGTAGAAAAGAAAAAATAGAGATGTCACTAAAATTTATAGAAATTGATTTTTAAAATATACCTATTTATCTCATGATCAATAAGAATATTGTCCTATCTTTTAAGGTTCTCTTCCTCTAGGAAAAGCCACAGAGAATGGGTCCTACCAATCTCCCCTAACATAGCAGAAGATCAAGGAAACACAGATTACATGGTTAAAGCATTAATTCAATAGCCAGATTAATTCACAACTGTATGAAATACTACCATAATCCTAGTTGTAACTATGTAACAGGCAAAATTAGCTTTCCTATTGCTCTCCATTTTTATTCAATTTAAAGAACAATGGGAGTGCTAATGTACCAGTTAAAACGTTTCAGATGAAAAAATTCAACCCCACCCATGAACAGATGTAGCTTTGAGAAAAATGAAAGACAACCATAACTACAGAATCCTTTTGACTGAGTTTCCTAAAACTAGAAGTCTGCTAACCACTCTTTGTTAGAATTAAATCTTGTTGGAAAAAATATTTACTTTCCCCTTGTCCTCACAATTACAGTATAAATTCTGAGTTCTAGACAGTATTTACCAGAGAAAGAAGAAGAAAAATATCTGAGAAACATTAGGAAGTTTATTATCAATTCATTAAAATATTACTTAATAGGATATTTCAGTAATATTCAGAAATGTATCATAAACCCGAGAAGCTGCATTTGCTAGTTTATAATTTCTGTTAAAGAGACTGTGTGCTGGTTTATTCTACCACAGTACCACACTACCTGCTGAGTTAACTGCACTATTTGAGTAGTCCCAGGTTTGTCATGACATGTGGGAATCCGTACCTTGAAGAGAAAGAAGAAATTAACTTTGGTAACAAAAGAATGCCCTTTCTATAATTTGCCAGTCCCACCACAGTGGGATCAAAAGCACTCTATCCTGCTGCTAAAAAGGTACACTCAACAATGCCTAAAAAGCCATAAAAACAAAATATTTATGTCAGATTAAAAAACTATAGTCATATTTATTTTCAGTCACAGCAGAAGTGCAGCAAGGTCTCCATACACACAGAAATTACTAAACCAATGAGAAGCAAATGTGCTGAATAATAGAAAAAGGACATCAACTTCATACTGCTTCCTGCTTATTGTTCCAATCTTTGCTTCATTAATATACACACACCCAAACACACCCTTCCCAGGCTGGCCAAACTATGGGATAAATCTCAGAGGAAACTATGAGAACTCTCAACTCAGAGCTACAAGTACTACTTTTCATGATTTCCCAGAGAAAAAACAAAATAGCTTCTATAGAAAAGAGCACATTTAAAGAGAAAATATTGCCAAAATTAAGTCCAACATAAAAATGAATTGCAAAAGCACTTAAAGCACATTCATACAAAGCCTGAGAGCAAAATGCTAATTCATTTTTAAAAATGAAAGAAAGGCCCCACCAGGCGTGGCTCAGCGGTTGAGCGTTGACCTAGGATCCAGGCGATCAGGGTTCGATTCCTGGTCAGGGCACATGCCTGGGTTGCCGGCCTGATCCCCAGTCAGGGGGCGTACAGGAGGCAGCCGATCAATGACTCTCTCATCATTGATGTTTCTATCTCTCTCTCCCTTTCCTTTCCTCTCTCTGAAATCAATAAAGATATATTTAAAATAAATAAATAAAAATAAAATAAATTAAAAAAATGAAAGAAAGAAAAACTTAATAGAGAACACCACCCTAGGATGGACGTGTTTGGTCTGACATTACATATCAAGATGATTTAAGCCCGGCCAGCGTGGCTCAGTGGCTGAGCATCGACCAACGAACCAGGAAGTCACCATTCGATTCCTAGTCAGGGCACGTGCTTGGGTTGCGGGCCCGATCCCCAGTAGGGGCTGTGCAGGAGGCAGCCAATAGATGATTCTCTCTCATCACTGATGTTTCTATCTATCTCTCCCTCCCCTCCTCTCACTCTGAAATGAATAAAAACATATTTTTTTAAAAAAAATCATTTAAGCCTGGCCGTGCGTGGCTCAGCGGTTAAGCGTCGACCTAGGATCCAGGCGATCAGGGTTCGATTCCCAGTCAGGGCACATGCCCGGGTTGCGGGCTGCAGCCGATCAATGACTCATCATTGATGTTTCTAGCTCTCTCCCTCTCCTTTCCTCTCCCTGAAATCAATAAAGATATATTAAAAAAAATAAATAAAATCATTTAAGACTAAAACCAATAGCTTTCCTAATTTCTTTTAATTTTTAGTAATTCGTACTCGATCTTACAAGTATTCTGCAATACCACCCAGCTCTAGAGGGCCATAGAGTAGCAGAATTCTAGGTGTCATTTACATTCATATGTATTATATAAAAATGACCCCCTCATGCAAACTTTACAGGATGATGGGACTGGTGGACCTTGGAGTTGTGTGGCTAATGGTTCTGTGCAGCAGGATGAATTGTGGTATCTCTGTAATTCCTTATACAAAATAATAAAATAAATAAACAAGTGAAAGCAATAACAAGACTGAATGTTACTAAGAAGTTAAAAAGCAAAACTCATGTGTGCACGTCTTACAGATCTTTTAAAAAGGAGACAAATGAAATATAAGCTATTACCTTCATTACTACCCCCATAATAGGCAGGTACAATGTTTTCCCTGGCACTGGAGCAGGCCATCGATCAACATCATTACAAGCTGAAAAAACATAATAAAATTCTTCCTTAGTATAAATGGAAATATTAAAATATGAAAAATAGCATAATAGAACTCTAGTTTCTATAGAGCAGGACAACTATACTGGGAAGGATGAAGATAAAAGGTAAAAGAAAAGTAAAAGTAGTGAAAATATCTTACATTTCACAAGAAATACACCTGTTCTAGGATAAAATTGATTAATATATTTTTTAAAGCAACAAAATAATAGGTTTAAATGAGCTTTTCTATTCATTACTACTAAAATTAGCTACAAAAGCACACCACCTGGCAGAGGCCTTCTCTCTGCATTGTATGACATAAAGATTTCTGTTTAACAGTAGTGAGTATCAGAACTGTCAACTGAATATTTCTTTATTATTATCCTATGGTGCAAAAGGAGATAATAAATGATAGTCTTTGTTGTCTCTAGGTGAAGATGCCAAAAGAACAGTTGTAAATCTACCATCATAAAATTCTTAACTAATTTTTTAAAGGTCAACTTCATTTTTATCAGATCATTTCCAGTAAATTTTTTTAAAACTCTTTCATAAAGCTACTTAAGTCACACAATGTTTAACTTACCTGCTTCCAAATAAGGTTTGCTCTTTTCAAAATACTCTGGTGCTATCTGTTTGAGTACAGCGTGAAAAAAATGAATATAAGGTAGTTTGCTGATCAAAACCAAGGACTGGAGGGAAAAAAAGAAACAATGTTTTTTTAAATTTCCTAATTTAAAATTTGTTTGTCATTTCTTCATAATTAATTACTAACAAGCTAAATTCAGCAAAAAGTGTGGATTCTGAAATAAAAAGACTTTTAGAGCAGATGGTTAAAAGGAAACATAAAACTATAGTTGCAGAATGCACAAAGTTTAACCTTACTACTATCCTTTAAGAACATAAAAAGTATATTCACAGATTTTTCTTCTTTCCAGGAAAAAGAATTCCCTATAAACAGACTACCATCATGGATAATTCCCAAAGCCTAGTAGTATCATTAGCAAAACATTATCAAGAATTGGCTAAATTCTTCCTAATAAGGAAAGAGTAAATTGTAATGCTTTTTCGAACTACGACCTATGACTACTCTTTTTTATTTATTTATTTTATTGAATTTATTGAAGTGACATTGGTTAATAAAATTACATGGGTTTCAGCCCTGGCCGGTGTGTCTCCATGGTCACAGGTTTGATTCCTGGTGGGAAGGGGGCAACCAATCAATGTGCTTCTCTCACATCAGTGTTTCTCTCTCTCTCCCCCCACCACTTCTCCCTCCCTCCCACTTTCTCTCTGAAAGCAATGGAAAAAATATCCTCAGGTAAAAGACTGTACATTTAGAGTAAAAACTATGCCTAAGATATTGCTAAAGTATATTTACTAACTCTTCAAAAACGGATACTGCAAGCTTTTAGTTGTAACTATATTATAGTGTTTACTCTTTCTCTTATTCTAAAATGTAAAAATTAAGCAGATTCTTCTGGCTTTTAACAGTATCAAAAAAACTGTAATCTATTGTCAGGAATATAGTACAAAGGTAGCAGAAAGGTAAAATTCAATAGCAGGCAAAAATTTAGGAACAGGTGTCTATAATCTAAAAAAACACACAAAGATACAATATAAATTCTAGTATGTTTAAAAATAAAATATCAAAGACTTTATAAAGACTATTCATTCTAACAGTTTCTATTTTTCTGACCACACTGTAACAATATTTTTTTCTATTATAGTGTATATGAAAATTACCTTCTGAAAGTAGCCTCTTTTTAGAGTTTTGTCTCGAACTTGTCGGAAATACACATATCCATAGAAATAAGCAGGATCCTTCTATGAAAGAAGTGACAAATATATATATATATCTGTAGCCATCATTTATTATTAACATTAGGTTCCTTTATAAACCCAAATGGAATCATGAGGTACACACAAAGAGCTATCCTTTTCCCTAACACAAACAATAATCAAGACAGTAACAGCCAGAAAAAAACCTCTAACTTGCCCAAAGATGAAATAATCATTACTAAGGTCATATTTTCCCCCTATAGCTTACTCTGTTTATGTTCTTTTTTCATAGTTGTACTAGTTAGAGGGAGTTATGAAACAATCAAACTATTTTCCCCAATGCTTTATATAGGCTTTTTTTTTTAATCCTATCTACACTTTTCCATTAGAGATCAGTCTTAATGAAATGAAGTATTCTAATAGAAAATTTCAAGAGAGAAAACAAAAAGGAGTTAAATACCAATCTGAATGTTACATAGCCAGTTATATTTTTACCCAACAATAATGAAACACTGGAATGCTTATCAACATACAATTTGAAAGGTAGTTACATTCCAAAAAACTTACGAAGTTTTAATATCCTAATGGAATGAATACATTTTGGCCCAGTCCCTTATTTGTCATTTTTTAAACAAATACTTATTGACCACCTACTCTAAACAAGGCATTATGTTAGAGAAGATGAAAAGATGCATAAGACACAGTTCCTTAAGGAGATCACAATCTAAGAAGGATGAGAAAAGTACAAAAATGACTATTATGGAATAGGAGGGCAGGTGCCACGAAAAAGGCACAAAGTGTTACAGAGAGGCCAAGCGGGAAGACATTATCTGTCTATGTGGATCAGTAAAGATTTCATGGAGACAGCTAGTTTTGAATTGGGCATTGATGGATGGATATGATTTAAACAAAGACAAAGACATTCCAGGTTTAGAGGGCAGGAGTCTCAGCAAAAACACACAGACACAGAAAAATACAAGCTATCCCAGAAAAAAGCAAGACAAAAGTAGTTCATTTGGGCTAAAATATGGCACATGTATAGAAAGGATATGAAGTTGGAAACTGGAGAGGTAAAGGCCTTATTTTAGAAGGCCCAAAAAGTGAGGACAAGGAAATAGTATTATCATTAGCTCTTTATTCATTAAGCAATAGGTAGCCATTTTAGATTTTATTTATTTTTAGATAATATGTATGTACACTTTAGCTGGCAACACTGTATAAGATATATTGTGTTGGAATGTCTTTAGGCAAACTTCATATTCAATAGATCTTAATTTCCTCATCTGCAAAAGGAATGCTCTCAGAACCCCACTGGGAAGATTAATGAGATAATATATGCTTCTTGATACAGTGCCCAGAACATAAAAAGGTCTAAAAAATGTAGTGATTATTATCATTGATTCAAATATGTTAACAGTGATAGCAAAAGGTCATAAGGGAGTAGATGGCTATAAGAGACATTTCAAAGGTAATATCTTTGCTAACTGGAAGAGGGTTCCTGTGGAAGCAGGTAGGTAAACTATAAATGCTGATTTTAGGCAAAATATGTCAAGTTCATATTGGATGTGCTGATAGGACATACAGATGGAAATGCTCCTCATGCAATTAGAGATGTAAGTGTGGAGTACAAAACAGAAACCTACACTCTGGAATCATTGGAATTATTAAAATTATTTTTAATAAACAATAACTTTAAAACAAAGCAGGTAGGTATTACCATGGGGAATCTTCAACTTTGGGTGATATTTACTGGTATAGTACCACCACCCTGCCTCCACAACTAAAAACAAGGAGTTACTGCCCAGGCCAGGTGGCTCAGTTGGTTTGGAGTGTCATCCCATGTACCAAAAAGGCTGCAGATTTCCAGCCAGGGCACATGCTGAGTTTGCAGCTTCCATCTCCAGTAGGAGCACATACAGGAGGCAATCAATTGATGTTTCTAACATCGATGTTTCTTTCTCTCTCTCTCTCTCTCTCTCTCTCTCTCTCAAATCAATGAACATATCCTCCGGTGAAGATTAAAAATAAAAATAAAAATAAATAAACAAGGAGTTATTAACAAATGAAAGAAAACTACTTCAGCATTCTAATCAATTTCTATAACTCACAATGGGCATTACATTTCAAAAACAATAACTTTACAAAGTATCTTTCACTCGGTGAATCTTATGAATCAGACTTAGAAAATTCAGCAACAAAACAAAAGCAAAAAATTTCTGAATGCTATAAGTAACTAAGTAACTGAGTTTTAAAGTTTCCTCTCATTGGATATTCTTCTATTACTACTTTTCCAACCTTTAAGTAAACTGGTAAATCTTTGTCAAATTGATCCAGGAAACAATGCAGTGACACCCTCCTCCCAGAAGACTGTCGAAATCTAAAACAAAACTGGGTATCTCCAAGACAACCTAATGAAAACAAAAATGAAAGAAATTAAGGATAGCACAGTATAACACTTACTTATCCAGTTTCATCAAATGTTAAGAGCAGCAGAGGTCCTTGCAATAATTTAAGCCCATTCTATCATGTTTTAGAGAAGAGAAAGGAGATTCTGAGTTCAAATTACTTGCTCAAAGCCATCTTCACTGGTTAGAGGCAAAGCTGTTAGTAAAACATGCATCTTAACTCTTAAGGCCCTCTATTATTCTTCCTATTCCATTTTCCTCATCCAATTAAATTTTTTGAAAACTGTTTGCATGGAGACTCACAAGCATAATAATGAGCAAAGAAGCCAAATACAAAATAATACATATTGTTCAAATCCATTTATATAGTTGTTTTTTTAAAAAAAGCAGGCAAAACTATAGTGTTTAGGGATGCATGTTGGGTGATAAAACTATAAGGCAGCAAAAATCTTATTACTATAAGAATCAGGGTAGTGGTTACTTTTAGGGGGAAGGGAAACAGTGTTTGGGTGGGGACATGAGGGGGCTTTTGAGGCACTGGCAAAGTTGTATTTCTTTACCTTGTATGTGTTTTCTATTTCACAATAAGGCTTTTTTAAAAAAGACATAATATAGCCAACTCAGGAAGAGCTCAAGTAATAAATTTACCATTTTATCATTTTGATTAAAAATAACTTTTAAACCTTAATAACCTTTAATCATTTTGGCAAACCTCTTAAAACATGTAAACTTTACCTAAACTGACAGGCAATAATTACAAAAAACTGAATACTCTAAAAAGTAAAAGATACATGAAGTAGCTTGTCACTCAAATTTTTCCAGGTTACTATATTTAAAATTAATAAGATTATATTAATTATGAAATATGCTCAGGATTTTATTATTACTTATTATAATGCACAGAAGTACTTTAGCACATGAAGTTCTCAACAAAGGAAGTAGGAACTTGGTAATAGGTTTAAGTTTGTTTTTTTTAAAAAAATACACTTTATTATAATTCCTTATGAAGTTAAAAACAGAGGCAGAACCTTCTAGATAAAGGATTGTAAAACAAAGGGCCATTCCATTAAGAATCAAACCTTCTAAAACATTCCAGCTTCTAACATGCAATCCTCCTACAGTCACAGCTATAGGGATTTTATCAGCTTCTGAATTCTCAGGTGGAGAAAGATGAGCCATGTTTTTTTTAGGTAGCAAAACTGATCATTGCTCTTAACTTTCTGGTTGATTGTCTCTCCAATGTATACATTTGCTATTCCTGATCTTTGGTGGTGTGGGGGGGAGACATCTTGTTTATTTGCATCATTTCCTATGCTTATTCTCTTTTTTTTTTTTT